TTGTTCCTTTTGAATTTTTCTTATACAGCATGATGTTCACTTGATTTCTGCTTCAGCATAATGAAGAACAATCACAAGCATTTCATGAGATTAAAGAGTTTAATTGGGAAAGAAATCAAATTTATGCAGTGTGTACAGTGATGATTCTTCTTCATAACTTCTGAAATTCTCTGTGGCTAAATGATGGTTGATGGCCATCCATTCCTGCCTTATCAGAGCTCCAAGGTGATCACAGTTTGTGGCTCTTTGTTTGTTCACTTGCATTATAAGGATTGACTATCTCAACTGGATTAAGATTTGGGGGATTTCCTGACTGTAAAATGCTATTTTGTGATCATCCGCAAAACCAATCTAATGAGCTTGGAAAACTGGACTTCTTTAAGTTCCTTGAAGACATTTTACTTCTTCACTTCAGTGGAGAGTCCCAGATTTTGCTTAAAATCTTAAACTGGCTGTAGATGTGGAAGTTACTGTTTCTGTCCAGGCTATTTCCAAAAAACCAACAACAAAACAAAACTAAAACAAAAAGGAATGGCATTTTTTAGATTAAATTAAATAGTAGGTGAAAGAACATGAAGTTTTTTTCTCATTAAATTGTTTATTTATGGGCGCCGGTTTAGATCACTGGGATGAACAGGCAGCCATAGGCTCCCTCTCTCTCTTCCCCTGCTTTCCTGTCTCTCTTCACTGCACTAATTAAGCCAGTAAAATGCCAAAAATTGAAAAATCATTTATTTATTACTTTAATACTTTGGGGTAATATGAATGCCTTGCCCCCTTTCACATTTTCTAAAATCATCCAGTGGGCCGGAATGGCGTCTTTGCCAGACCGATTCTGGGCCCCCAGCCTCATGTGTGATACCAATGTTGTATAGGCTTGGATACATGCACACAACAAAAACTTAAATCTAAAAATGAAAAATGAAAAAAGACGTGAATACAGTGATAACTAGAGATTGGCAGTAACATGTTAAAGGTAACGCGTTACTGTAATCTGATAAATTTTTTCAAGTAACAAGTTAAGTAAGGGATTACTTTTGCAATAAAAGGAATTAGATTACTGTTACTTGCGTTACTGCGTTACTAAACAGGGATTTTGTTTGTGAGAGTGTCTCATGACAATAACGTATGAGCCTGCAATGTCCGTGGCAGCAACAGACATGTGTAGATCAACAATGGATAATATGGAGTGGGGGAGAGAGTATGACCATGCAGTGTTTAAAACTTGGAATTACTGACATTACTTTGAGTATGATTCCGTAAAAAGTGACAAATACATTTGCGTCATGGTAATGTGAAATTCACAGAGAAACCACCGGATGCCCCACTGACATGACCGCTGCAGCACTGGGCAAACATCCATCCTGCTAAACAGGTGAGAATAGTTTTAAGAATGACAGGACTTAGTGCCACTGAATCTTAGATTTTTCTTATTTTTTGCTGTATTTTACTCGCAGGAATCAGGATTCCTGCGAGTGGATCAGAATTTTTGCACAATCCAGAAGATTTTGAAATGCGGCATTTCTTATGATCATACAGAATCTTTTTTCTATATGAAGGAAGTTCTATTCAACGGTCTTGGCAAAATGTATGTGGAGGGGGAGAAAACCCAGATCACTGTGCCAGCAGTATTGTATTAAAAACCCTTTTGCTGAAAAGTATACATACAATGACCTCTCATATGCTAGTGTTTACCAAATGCACCTGGACAATAACTCTATAAGACCTGACTTCTTTATTGTAAAGTGTTTTTGCTATTGAGCCTTCGGAGTTTACAGATAAGCCTGACCTTTATGTTTTGCCTGAAGGTACCTGTGCCTATAGATTTCGTCCCTGGCACTCCATTGCCCACCAGTCGGCTATATAGTCTTTCAAAACCTGATAGGAAGGCAAAGGAGTGCTACATCACTGACTCACTAGCTGCAGAGATCATTCAGCCTTCACTCGGGTGACGGGTGAAGAACAAGTACCCACTAACGCTGTTGTCCTCCGCTTTTGAGTTATTGCACGGGGCCACTGTTTTCTCTAACCTGGAC